TCTCAGCATTAGACATAAGCAAGAGACGCCTGAAAACAAGTTATTGCTTTCTCAGGCGGCACTTCGAAGGCCAACAAAGCTTTGTGAGATACTAGCCATATTCTCAGCATATAGGAGGAGAAGTACATTGGGGATTGTACGGATTGAGGCAGGTGTATATAGGAGATGGTCCTGTGCAGGTGCTCCCTAAAGAAGGTGGAGGTCAAAATACAGCCCTGGGAGACTTTTCCGAAAAGGATGGTTAGCACATTTCATCCAATTGCTGAAGGAGAAACACTAGGCATCTTCACTGATAACTGGTAGTTTAGCCTGCATGGATGAGGTCATGAAGCCACCAGAATTCTCTAAGAGATGAGAGGCTTCCCTTGGCATCCTACCAAAGGTCACCTGCTCCACCTTTTACACGTAGACCAATGTCAAGGAAATGTCTGCAGGAGGTGACCAAAGCAATCACTGAATTTGCCCATTTCTCACAAAAGGCAGGTTTTTGTATGTAGACTGCCTCTGTCAAGGGAAGCTCCACAAATGTCAGTAGAGACCCTCCCCAGATACCTGAGACTCCTGTCAGCTGGATTCCCTGAATGGTCCACTTGTCTTTAAATAGAAATCGCTACGAGGGACTCTCTAAGGCCAACAAAGTTTTGTGAGATACCAGCCATGTTCTCAAAGGGCCTCCACCCCTTTAGCCTTAAACACCTGGCTTTTCTCCAGGCGATGGGAGATCAGACAATGAGAAGTTGGCATGGATTGATGCCAGTCTTTTGTTTCTTGGTTTTTATTTTCAATGTTTTATGTTTTTATGTGTTGCATAGTTTTTAAAATTGCTTTTTGTGAGCTGCAGAGAGTTGACTGAAAGATGGGCAGTTATAAGAATGTTTTAAATGAAGAAGACTCATTAGGGACCTCTTTGATCTCCCACTAGGTGCAGAGACTAGGTGCTTCCCAGTTGTCAGAATCGTGAAAGCATTTCTGTGCTTCCTATTCATCAGCTAAATGATTAGCAAAAGATTCATCTAGTTCCCTGACGTCAAATTCGATTTCATTCACGACCGCATCAGAGTTATGTTTGACCTGGGGGTGGGAGTGGGGCAGGTNGGCCGCTGGGAGGTATGTGGCAGTAGGCGGTCTCGAAGGTACTCTGGCCCATTTCTGCTTAGGTGAGGCACCTTTTTGTGAATCCCAAAGTAATTCAGCAATCCAGAAGAGAAAGAAAAAATCCTGTCCCCTTGGAGAATTTCGGCCAAAAGAAAATACTGCATAGCTTAATCATCCTCTTTTACCCAAGTTCCAAATGTTGAGGGATCCAGCAGTTAAAGAGACCCAGAAAGAAACCAAATTTGGATCCTATCAACATTGCATGATTTCCTGTTTCCTTTTTCCAACAATGAGGGATTGATTTCTATGTGAAAATTCACTATGAGAAACCATTGGCAGCAGATTCTCCTCCTCAGGTCCTCTTTAACTGGAGACGGTCTCCTTTTGTGCAAGAATTCCGAATTCTTATATCCAGGAAGAATAATTGTCCTGCATCGAATAGAAACCATGTAGTTGCTGTTTAAAAACACACTTGAGTGAATCACATATGGAGAGTTTATTTATTTGGATCCTGACTTTATTATTTCTGCAAATAAGGAGGAGGAGAAGAGATGCAATAAAAGAAAGGAGCCAATTTGGAGCTCAGGGTTCGACTGAGGGGTCCTTGGAGCTCTCTGAGCCCCTCCCCCTTCCAGCCACAGTGACCCCTCCCTCCTCTCTTCCCCCAACAACAACCCTGTGAGGTGGGCTGGACCGAAAGAGTGTTCCTTGCTTTCTCCCCTGGACTGGTGCCTCCATCACTGGACCCCACTGGCTCCACTTTATAGGCGGCTATAAGGCCTCCGCCCCAGAACAGCCCCTGAGCTCCCCCGGCCACAAGAGGGGGGAAATGGGGGGGAAAGAAGGACCCCAAAGATCAAAGGGAACCCTGCTCCCACGCCTCTACTGGGAACCATAGCAACCATCCACACCGCGGAGGCGTCATCTTGCTGGATGGACGCCGATTGGTCAGTTTGGAGAGGCCGTCGATTGGCTGGAGGACTTTTTGGGGCGGACCCTCCAAAGGAACTGGCGCAACTTCTGGAGAAAAAAAAGGGCGTGAAGCCTCCATTTCTGGAAACGAAACGGGCAACGAAGGAGCTGCCTAATCGGCGACATAGGAGCCCGGATGATGCAGGTTTGGCGCAGGGGATGCTGGGAGTCGCAGTCCAGGAGGGTCTTTCTCAGAGAAGGCCGGGGGGGGGGGGCTGGGAACCCGAGACCTAGCTGGGCGGCCAGGAAGGGAGGCCGGACGCTGGTAGGGAGGCCGTGTCCGCCTCCAGCATGCCCGGAAGAAACGTGAGAGGCGGAGGCTTCGCCCTGGGCCTCCCTACGGGGAAGGGGAGGAGCCGTGACCCGCCTCTCCTTTTCCCCTGCAGTAGGACAGAGGAGCCCGGCGGGGGAAGGCCGGGAGGCTCCGAGGCTGCAGGAGGGATGAGCCCAGGGGGACCCCGGGAAAGGCGAAGGGAGGAGGAAAAGGGAGGAGACCCCGAGACGGTCCTGGAGGGCGGAGGGTCCTTCGGAAGACCCCGGAATCCCCAAAGGATCCAGGAGGGAGGAAGGAAATATCAGTGCCCGGAATGTGGAAAATCCTTCAAAAATGGCGATAAACAGGAGACCCATCTCAGAATCCACTCAGGAGAAAAGAGATATCAATGCGGGGAATGTGAAAAATCCTTCAAAAGGATGTCTTCCAGCAGAAACTGCTACAAGGGACTCTGCTATGTCCCATAGATCCCTATCGAACACTGCCGTTTGGTTTGGGGGGAGGCCTGGGTATATTCCTCACTTTAGAATCCTTTTCCTGCCTATCTTGTACTTTGAATTTCCTTCTTGGAAATAAACGGGGGGAGGGAATGAATTGGGGGCCATCTGTTAGTCTCAGCATTAGACATAAGACATAAGACATAAGGCAGCAACAACAACTGAAAACAACTTATCACTTTCTCAGTCGGCACTTCTAAGGCCAACAAACCTTTGCGAGATACTAGCCATATTCTCAGCATATAGGAGGAGAAGTACATTGGGGATTGTACAAATTGAGGCAGGTGTATGTAGGAGATGGTCCCGTGCAGGTGCTCCCTAAAGAAGGTGGAGGTCAAAATACAACCCTGGGAGGCTTTTCTGAAAAGGATGGTTAGCACATTTCATCCAATTGCTGAATGAGAAACACTCTTTGTACTGTATTTTCCAAGTTCCTCATAATGATTTCTCNAAGCTCACTCTTTATTTGTGTGAATGCGTGTTGGCATTCTCCCGTCCATCCTTTTAGCCTTAAACACCTGGCTTTTCCCCAGGCGCTGGGAGATCAGACAATGAGAAGTTGGATGGATTGATGCCAGTCTTTGGTGGTTTGTATTTTCAATGTTTTATGTTTTAATGGGTTGTCTAGTTTTTAAAACTGCTTTTCGTGAGCTTCACAGAGTTGACTGAAAGAGGGGCAATAATAAGAATGTTTTTAAATGAATTAGACTCATTAGGGACCTCTTCGATCTCCCACTAGGTGCAGAGAGCAGGGGTTCCCCAATTGTCAGGATAGTTAAAAGTCCCCCTTTACTATGCTTTCATCAGCTAAATCGGCATCCGCCTTCCTTCAACCAACTAGATGGCCCCAGCACAAGCCTCTGGATGTGAGGCTGGGGGGGCTCCCTTTGATTTTTGGGGTCTGGTTTTCTCTGCCCCGCATTCACCTTTCCCCCCAATCTGGGTCCCTCCCTAGGCAAGGTGGGAAGCGAGGTCTGGGAGGGCACCCAGGCAAACGAGAGCTGGAGGGGCCACAGATTTGACTTCATTTTAATGTTCTCGTTGTTTTACACTAAAAACCTGAAGTAATCTGATGCTGGAGCCCAGTGAGTTTCTCCAGGTGTTTTTAGACGTATGAAGGAAGTTCCCTTGTCAGCTGACAGAATAAAAACAAACAAGCTGGAAGGGACCTTAGAGGTCTTCTAGTCCAACCCTCTGCTCAAGCTGGAGATCATATCCCAAGGGTGCTTTTTCAAGAGGCAATTGGATTTTGTTTGCTTTTCCTTGAAGATGTTTCACTTCTCATCCAAGAAAGTTCTTCAGTTAATAGAATGGAATAGAATGAATAAATAGAACAGAACAGAATAGAATTCTTTATTGGCCAAGTGTGATTGGACACACAAGGAATTTTGTCTTTGGTGCAAATGCTCTCAGTGTACATAAAGTAAAATATAATGCATTCATCAAGATACAACACTCAGTGATAGTTGTAAGTTACTAATAAATCATAGTAGGAGACAAACAGAACAATATCAATTGTAAAGATACAAGCAACATAGTTGGAGTCATGTGGGAAGAGAGAAAGGAAAGCCCCACTCATTAATGTAGCTCTGGATGAGCTTCCCATCGCATTCCCTTTCCTTTGCCATGCTCTTTTGTGTTTGGTTCCATCATCCCAGATTATCTCCCTCCAGTATTTTATTTATTTATTTATTTATTTATTTATTTATTTATTTATTTATTTATTTATTTATTTATTTATTTATTTATTT